AGATCCATTATCTGTCATTTGTAATAACTTGCCACTTATCAAATCGAGAGATAATATGTGATAATTATTGTTTAGAGGTCTGAGAAATCTTTCCAGATGAAAGACTTGTATGACTCGAGATGCCAGTTCATTTCAGCAGCTGTGATTGCCAGTAGGGTCAGTGACAGCTATTCAGTAAGGCGTTGTACCCTCTAACCAACACTAAAACTATGCTTCATCCTGAAGAGAAGGCATTGTATGGGTCATTTTCTAACAATGCAAATGTGTCCCATTGTACATGTTTCTTATCCTCTGTTTCCACCGGACAGTAGCAACATTCACAAAGGTAGAGGATGGTGTATGTACAAGGAAGGTTGCTTACTAACTGTGAACAAGATGTACATTATATTGCCAAAAGTATTGACGCCTGCCTTTACACACGAACTTTAATGGCATCCCAGTCTTACTCCGTAGGGTTCAATATTGAGTTGGCCCGCCCTTTGCCGCTATAACAGCTTCAACTCTTCTGGGAAAGCATCCACAAGGTTTAGGAGTGTGTCTATGGGAATGTTTGACCATTCTTCCAGAAGCGCATTTGTGAGGTCAGGTACTGATGTTGGGCGAGAAGGCCGGGCTCGCAGTTTCCACTCTAATTCATCCCAAAGGTGTTCTATCGGGTTGAGGTGCAGGCCAGTCAAGTTCCTCCACCCCAAACGCTCATCCATGTCTTTATGGACCTTGCTTTGTGCACTGGAGTGCAGTCATGTTGGAACAGGAAGGGGCCATCCCCAAACTTCCCACAAAGTTGGGAACATGAAATTGTCCAAAATGTCTTGGTATGCTGATGCCCTAAGAGTTCCCTTCACTGGAACTAAGGGGCCAAGCCCAACTCCTGAAAAGCCACCCCACACCACAATCCCCCCCTCCACCAAACTTTACAATTGGCACAATGCAGTCAGGCAAGTACTGTTCTCCTGGCAACCGCCAAACCCAGACACATCCATCAGATTGCCAGACAGAGAAGCGTGATTCGTCACTCCAGAGAACACGTCTCCACTTCTCTAGAGTCCAGTGGCGGCGTGCTTTACACCATTGCATCCAACGCTTTGCATTGCACTTGGTGATGTAAGGCGTGGATGCAGTTGCTCGGCTATGGAAACCCATTCCATGAAGCTCTGTACGCACTGTTGTTGTGCCAATCTGAAGGCCAGATGAAGTTTGGAGATCTGTAGCTATTGACTCTGCAGACAGTTGGCGACTTCTGTGCACTGTGCGCTGACCCCGCTCTGTCATTGTATGTGGCCTACCACTTCGTGGCTGAGTTGCTGTTGTTCCCAGTTGCTCCCACTTTGTTATAATACCACTAACAGATTACCGTGGAATATTTAGTAGCAAGGAAATTTCACGGAAAACCTGAATGTAATTATTTGGAGGGGTGTCCCAATACTTTTGGCAATATAGTGTATATCTATGATTAGATTTCCACCTTCATATGATACAACATAAATTCATGATAGAAACTAATGTAATAGATCACCAAATGTTCCCTAGACACGAATGAAAGGAGAGCAATCAGTGGTCAGGAAGCAGAAATGAATGAAAGCTTCTGTAGAGTCTGGTTCATGAAACAAGGATTTCACACTGTACAACTTTACAAACCTTAAAGAATCCTTAATCATGAAGCTAGTCCTTTTTCACAGGAATCCCTTGGATCACCCACCCAATTATGCAGTCTGTAGGTAAATAGATGAACTGACTTAAAATATTATGCACGTATGAAACTCTTTGTTGGTTCCAAAAAGACTCTTACTATACAGGTTCAGATTTATGAACCATATACAGTATTTAATGTTTTGGAAGTATGTGCTGTATACTGCTTCACATAGCTTGTTGGTTGAGCTTCATATATATATATATTTAGCCCCTGTGTATCCTTCTTCAGCTGTGTAGTTATTACCTTGTGTGTATCCATAGCCCAATGGTACTCCATAACATCTTATTTACAATAGCTTTTATCTGTGAGCGATTCCCGAAACGATGCGTTGGCCACGATTATCCACAAAAACGTTACAGAAGGAATGGAAGCAAATGATTCAATAAAGGGGCATACTCAAAGCCAATTTAAAGGTGGCCTCTTGATGACAGAATTAATAATGACACCATCATGCTAAAGATAAAATACCGCAGGTTCTTTCCTTATGGAAATATTTTAATTAAGCTTTTAGCAGTTTCTACTTTTAACTTCAATTCACAAACCAGTAACATGACGGCTCAATTGAAACTGGCAAGTTTTGAAAATCTGTTCAAAGCAATGTTCGTCTTTCTAAATCAAGCAGGTTTATAAAATATATTGTTCAACATTCTGTTTTTAGTAACATTTGTTTTGAAGGTAAAATTAGGTCATTTATGAAATTATTGTCCATAGAGTCATTAAAGTAAAGCTGTACTTTGCCCATACTTACCTACCCCGAACTCCACCCACTGAGCCCTGATAAATCATTGATACTTCCAGATGTGGACACTCAATGCCAGAGTGACCAATCCGCAGACGCTGTCACATGAGTCCTGTCTGGGGGTTCTGGCAGCAGATAAAGGTGGGGAGTGTAGAGAAGATAAGCACAGCATGGTTACTGTGTCTGTTATAATGGAGACCATTTTTTTACAATGGACAAAGTACAGGCTTAGTGTAACTCACAGAAATATTAAACAACCTGATAATAATATTCAAAGGCAGTTTGGACTGAGATTACTGAAATAATTCTCCATTTGCTTCATGTTAATTCCCTGTTTCAAATGCTATTTTAGACCTCCAGTCGCCACAGCAGCCTTTACAATGTTACCTAGAATTAGAATTGATCTAAGCAGCTTAGAGCCACCGCGTGGCCAAGAAATCCATGGGGGTTGTATGGGAAATATAGTTCAACATCAGTGGTAGGTTCATACAAAATATTCTGGCTTTGGACCCTGGGACAAAGCAGTCTCGGCACCTTCCACAAATATTTACAATCCATCCATTTCACTCCAGGGTCGCCCCCAAAGTCATCAGAATATGGGGCAGTCTAAAGAATGTCAAGATTTGGTATGTTAGCACCCACAATGTAGAAGAGCCACCCTCCATGTAAACTATGGTAACATATTTTGTCACATAAGATCTGTGAATATAGAGATTCAAGAGGAAGATAGGATTATTTTCTACCTAGGTAAAAATGACAATACTAATAAATAATCATTCCAGAATGTCTTTTCTCGTGAACAATGCTGTTGCTGTTGTGATAATAGATTCTATTTATTTTATTGCATTTTCCAGTGAAAACCTTTTATTTTCTCTCTATTTGTTCTGCTCGTTCTTGCATCTTTTGCATTTCCAGTGTTTGTAGTTGAAACACATCACATATAAAGATGTATTGCTGTTTTTACAGAATAAAACACTCTGATGTGTGTCAAAAGTAAGGTTCAAGATGGTTAAGAGTGAGATAGGTCACACTTGACTTTATTTACAGTATATGTAATGCAAATATTAAAACAAAACTTCTGTAAACAGTGGTGTCGGCTATGATTGTATTAGTGATTAGGGGCTATTGTTTTGTACATTGTGGGTTGTAGCAGATGTAGTACAATAATAAAGGTACAAGACATATTTACTAAATGTTTTTTTGTATAAACCTTCATGTATGTTATACGTCTGATATATCACTTACATTATTGTTAGAACAACTCTTTCATTATAAAAAAAGAACTCTTCAGTTCCCAGTATAGTTGCTGATCATTTCTCACAAGCTCATTGTCAGACCACCCCTAATACAGGGACTTGTATGGGGCACATTGGTGAGTGCATTGCATTAATTAAAGAAAAACTGCGGACAAAGTTTTTATTAACCCTTGCAGTGGGGCTACCCCTGCACTGAGAGGGTTAATTGCTCCCTTTGTCTAGATGCCAAGTTATATAATTTGAACTGTGGAGGCAGCTTATTCTCAGAACGGTCCTACCAGCCTCTCTCCCCCTTCTCTGCAATGGTCTAAGGTCCTGTAAATCATCACAATCTATACACTTCATAAATGTGAGGATGCAGAGGAACATTCCAATGCTGCAGCGTAGGACACAGGCTCCAGAGACCGGAGAAGCAGGCAGCTGCTCAGCAGTTCAGGGGAGTATAACTTTTTTTTAGCACCTAGACAAAAACAAGCAGTGGTCCCTTGCAGTAGCCCCACTGCAAAGGTCAACAAAGGTTTTGCCCAAAGTTCTAAATATTCTTGTTACAGTTTATTGGTCTTCTTCACACAGTATATTGAGTTAATGGCATATACACATAAATGAAGAACAGTAGAATCAGCACTTTATTAGAGGCGCGGGAAACATCAATCCAGCACACCTTCGAAAAATATCATTTTTGTTATTATCTAACAGATAGTAAGTACTCACGCTTAGTACAGAGTTGGGAGGAGCACTGAATTATTTGGTTGTGAATAAGCTTGCACGCTTCTAATAATTGTTGCAGACAGAATTAAATTCGATACCACACCTATCCTAGAAGAAAAAGGTTAAGGTGCACCCATTAGGCTGAATATTTCGATTCTTGCATAAGCCCAATCAGGACTTGTTTTTAATGGTCAGGCCAGACATCATTGTCACTGTGTCTAGGAGCTGCTCATGTTCAGTGAAAACACTACCTTGTGATTGTCTTTGCACTCTGTGGTGAAAGCATCTTGTATAATGTGTTTATAGGAGAGTATAGCAGAGTCCTTTTTCGCTTACTTCATCCATCAAATAAGTGGAGGCTTCCAGAACAGGGCTGGCCCTACACGTTATTAGGTCATTGATATAAATAAATGGTTTGCTGTTTATTTGGTTGGCCCCACTGAGAGGTTTTATTGTTCTGCTGCATCATTATCATGTACTTCATTGGTTTTCTGCAGATCATTGTACAGAAACACAAAACATACAGTGAGAATTAGTGAACCTCATCATATTGTAAGGAGAGTTCTAATTCTATTCAGATTTGACCCCTGCTTTTACCTTTACAAAAAATTCTGGTTCACTGATACACCGATGAGCCAATAACTGTGGAACCGATGCAAAGAGTATATTTGTAAATAAAAATAAAAGCCTGGCTTCCTCAGGAACTCTGTGGATGTAAGGAGTCCGAGCGTGGAGAGAAGCACCAATGTGAGAGAACTGGGCCTGTACAGTAGAGAGAAAATGAATCATCACTTATATATACAGTATATATATATATACTTCTCTGACTGACATAGAGACAATAACTAGCACCACCAATAATGTCATTAGTGATAAAAAGATCATACATTTTTCAGCCTCGCATCCAAGTTGATTAGTGTAGGGAAGTAGCATGTTGCTTTCGGCATTTCTGTACTGCTAATACCAGTGTCTGGGGCCAGGTTCATGCGTATGGATCCCAAAACACCATAAACACTGGTTGAGCATTTCTGCCAGTTGACGCATTTTCACACATGTGTAAACATGTTTTCTAATATATAAACCACGAGAGATGCCTGTTCATACTCTTACTGTATAATCGTTTCAAAGTGTTCTGTCTGGGCTTCCATGTGCATCATAATTGTAGCATTCAGCACTTTTTAAAACTTTAGCACTTTTAAATACATGAAGGAGGCTTGTCCCAATCAGTAGTGAGTTAAACTTACCAATGTCCAATATAGTAGGTCAGGCAGAAGATAGTTGTGCTTCAGAAAGGAGCAATAACAGTCTGAGGAACACTAGCACTAGATTAAAGGGTATGTGCATGAATGCTGGAAGTCTAACTAACAAACTGGAGGACCTCAAACCTCTGTTACTTGAGGAGGACTTTGACTTTGTTGGTAACTGAAACATGGCTGGACAGCTTGCATGACTGGGCAGTTAACATACATGGGTAAAATCTGTTTCAGAGGGACAGGGTCAGTAGAAGGGGAGGAGGGGTATGCATGTATGTGAAGAACAATCTTCAGGTGGGTGAAGACATTGCTGATGGAAATTGTGGCTAGAACTAAATAAGCCTACGGTTAATAGTAAACTGATTGTGGGGGTATTCTACAGACCTCCAAAACATAAAGGAGGATGAGGAGACTCAACTCCTCTCACAGATTGAATTGGCCGGGGAAAAGGGTAACATTATAATAGTGGACTTCAGTTATTCGGACATTGGTTGGGCAAAGGGAACCACACACACAACCAAGGCTTGCCGTTTCCTGAACTGATTGAGAGACAGTTTCATGGAACAGATGGTTGAAGTTCCAACTAAGATGAATGCATTATTAGATCTAATAATATCAAATAATACGGAGCTGGTTTCAGACATAGCAACTCGGGAAAACCTGGGTAACAGTGATCACAGGGTGTTCACGTTCACAGTAGGTTACAGAAAAGAAAGGCAGGTTGGTTTCACAAGAACAGTAAACTTCAAAAAGTCAAACTTCAACAAACTGCGATCCTTAATGAATGATATCAAATGGGAGGAGTTATTTATAACAAAGAACACTGAGACTAAGTGGGATTGTTTTAAGGCTATACAAAACAATAGCATTAGCGAGTGCATAACATTGGGCAACAAGAATAGAAGATTAAAAAAGCTAAACCGGCGTGTCTGAATCCGGAGCTAAAACAACTTATCAGTAAGAAGAACCTGGCATGTAAAAAAAGAGGGAAGGGACAACACTGGCCTTCCAGAACTACAAGGAATGCAATAGAAAATGTAAAAGTTCAATCTGGGCAGCTAAAATAGAATACAAAAAATTTATTCCCACAGCAATACATATTAGACATGTGCACCGGCAAAACAATTGTTTGGTTTGGTTTTGATTTGGAGATTTTGCGTTATTGCGGGTCCGAAAATCAATTTGTTTTCGGGATTCGGACGAAATTAGTTAGCGGTAGTCTGTACGATTTTTCGTTTCGTTCGTTTGTTGCAGCATTGTGACATTCGAGGGAAAAAAACATGTTTTTTTTCCTCTAATGCCATTTTGCTGCAACGAAATTTCATCCAACAAACCAAATTTCATACAGACTACCGCTAACAAATTCCGGAAACAGAAATTCGGATTTCGTATACATCCGAATTTCCGAAATTTCGTCCGAATTTCGTTTTGGAACTAAACTAATCACACATGTCTAATACATACAGTAATACCTTGGTTTAAGAGCATAATTCGTTCCGGAAGCATTCTTGTAATCCAAAGCGCTTGTATATCAAAGCGAATTTCCCCATAGGAAATAATGGAAACTCAGATGATTCGTTCCACAACACAAAAATATTCATATAACAATGATTACAATACTGTACTGTAATATAATACTGTATAAAATATAAAGAAAAATAAACCAATTACCGGTACCTTCGTGGCTGGTGTGGGAGGGACAAGAGAGAGGAGGATTATTGTGTAGGACGACTTTCACTGTCACTAACGGAATCACTGCTATCTCTTGACTCAATGGAATATTTTTCATTTCGTGAAACCTTAACAAGGAATCTATTCAATGTGACATTGCATTGTTGTTAAACAGATGAATCGCTCGCACTGCTACAGCCTTATTCGGTGGCGCTTTTCTACAAAATTTTGCTCTTATTCCAAGACATTGCTTGTATATCAAGGCAACATTTTTCAGAAATGTTTGCTTGTCTTGCAAAACGCTCTCAAACCAAGTTACTTGTAAACCAAGGTATTACTGTATACATTTCAATACATAAACAATAAGAAGGTAAGAAAGAAACAGGTGGGTCCCGTAAAGGATGTGAATGAGAGGTTGATTACAAATGACAGGGAGATGGCCGAAATGTTAAATGTATTGTTCTCCACAGTATTTACTCAGGAAAGTAACAGGTTTCATGAACACAACAAGAAGCACTGGGAGGAAAATACCATTGTGGTTGACGGAAGATAGGGTTCGCCGCGGACTAGAAAAACATAATGTGAATAAATCCCCAGGAACAGATAACTTGCACCCCCGGGTACTTAAAGAGCTAAGTAATAGTATAATAATATCCTAGAGATTCATAATCTCTAAAGACTCCATACTGACTGGTGAGGTACCAGCTGACTTGCGTAAAGCAATTGTTGTACCAATATTTAAAAAGGTTTGAGAAGCGTACCTGGGAATTATAGACCAGTCAGACTAACATCTGTAGTATGCAAGTTATTTGAGGGTATGATGATAAGTGACAACCAACATGGCTTCAGGAAAGACCGTCAAACCAACCTATTAGCATTCTAAGAAGAGGTGAGTGGCAACCTAGACAGAGGAAAGCCAGTGGACGTAGTGTACCTTGATTTTGCAAAAGCATTTGATACGATACGTCATGTTTAATTTACAAGCGTCAGTCTTTGGGCATGGATGAAATGGTGTGCACTTGGATAGAGAACTGGCTAAGTGAACATGTCCAGAGACTATCAATAAATGGCTCATTTTTCAAGTGGTCCTCAGCGTGCCACAGGGTTCTGTCTTGGGGCCATTGCTGTTCAACCTGTTTATCAATGATTTTGGGACTGATATTAATAGCAATATTATAATTTTTACTGATGATACCAAAATTTGTAGGGTAGTAAACCCGACAGAAGACATAGAGATATTACAGGAAGACCTGGATAAAATAGGGGGTGGGCATCTACATGGCAGATGAGAAGTGTAAGGTTATGCATTTTGGAGGTAAAAATCTGAAAGCGAGCTACTCATTAATGGGTAGCTTCGGCTACATACAGTATACCGCGCTGAGCCAATCATGGCAGGCTTTGTATTAATGAATACAAAGCCTGTATTCATTAATACAAAGCCTGCCGTGATTGACACAGTGGAAGACAGAGGACACAGCGGGGATCGTGGACAAGGTAAGAGACTGTTATCTCGATTGTGGCTCGGGGTTACCGCTTATGGTACTGAAAATTAACCCCGAGCCACACTCGGGAATACCGCCATGGAGGTTAGTGGGTGCATTTAAACATTATTTTGGGCTATACTCGTCTTATACGACGAGTATAGCCCAAATCCTATATTTTAACACAAAAAGTAGGGTACAATACGGTACAAATTGTTTAATGGTGATGGGAGAATCAGTAATAAAGTGTTTGCTGTTAGTTCAGTCAAGAAGACAAGAGGCCACCATCTGAAAGTGGAAGAGAAAAGGTTTAATCCTAAACAGGGAAGGGGATTCTTTACTGTGAGAGCTGTACAATTGTGGAACTCCCTTCCACAGACAGTGGTATCAGCTGACAGTATGGAATCATTCAAGACCCATCTAGATACTTTTCTCAGCGCACTAAATATATAGGGGTACAGCAGGGGCGGACTGGGCAGGGTGGCAATTGCCCCCCGGGCCTCTCTGATGCCATCGCGAACGGCCGCTGCCACCTGCACCCGGCCAGCCGCCCGCCCTCCGCATCCGACGCGGCTCTGTGAATGGTGCTGCCGCTGCTCCTCAAGGAGGTGCTCGGG